GTGCTGGGCGGGGCTCCTGTTCCAGGCGGCATTGGTGGTTTGATGGACCTGCTGCTGGTGGCGGTGGTGTGCGTGCCAACAGAGAGGGCTCTGAGTGCCACCTCTGGCACGCATGCCATAGGTTCACCACCACTGTCCTAGGCCCTAGGCAATCGATTGCATGTGCATGGTGGAAGTATGAAAGAAGATTAGCTGATAAAGTGCCACTTTGGTTATCACCTCATGAAGCACTACATAGAACAGCGATGATTTCGGAATGTAAATGGATGACATACGAAGACTTGAAAAAAAGGGATTTGAGATAAAGACAAGAGAACAACTAGTGAGTGAAGGATTTGTTGTGATTGGTGTAATTATTATAGTATTTTTAAAAGATTTAAATTTGATAAAAAAAAGTTTTGTTTACACAGGAACTAAATCTGAATTAGACATTAATTTATGTTCTAGAGATGACCACTTGATTTCTAAAGTATATAAAATGTTACTTATGATGAACCTAGAAGATGAATACGTTAAAGACTGTATGGTAAAATGGTCAAATATTTTCGGTATAATATAATGCTAGATAAATGGGAGAATGTCTGGACGAATGGACTAAAATTCACATTAAATTATAGTTTGAAAAAAACTTTTACAAAATGATGTATTGTTGGTACTTGACCCCAGATAGACAAGTGAAAATGTGTAAAAGGATTTCTAATAAGAGCTGGCAATGTAATCAAAATCCAGGTTCATTTTATTATATGTGATGGTCTTGCAAATACGTGAAAATATACCGTATAAACAACAATGCAAAAATGTTTAAGATATAAATATTAATGAAACCTGAAGCTTTTCTTTTAGGCATGATGGACAAGCCAACTGAAAAACAATTTGGGGTGATATTCCTTCACGTGATGACGGCTGCGTAGATTGTACTTGCAAACAATGGAAAGAAAAAGAGATGCCGACTGTTGAAGAATGAATTTTGAAATTGGCTGAACTAGCAGAAATGGCAAAATTAACTGCTTTGATTAGAGATAATGGACTAGACAGCTCTATAAGAGACTGGAAACTGTTTGTGGACTTTCTATGTGCTAAATATAATAACAGATCGTTAACAGAGGGATTTGAAGATTAGTGCAATGTTTAGCTCAACCTGTTGACTGCTTTTTCTTCTTTTGTGTGTGTGTGTGTGTGTGTGTGTGTGTGAAAGGCAAGGAGAATTTACTGCTTTTTCTTTTCTTTCAGCACCAGCTAGGCTGAGTCCTACTTGTTAAATGTGAAATTTAATTGACCACTTTTTCTTCTTTTTTTGTACTCTATTCTTTTCTTTTTTATTGTTTTAGGGTTGAATGTATGCTTTTGTTTTGTTTCATTTTGTTTTATTGTTTTGTATTTTATTCTCTATGATAAAACCAATAATAATAATAATAATAATGTTTTAGTTGAGTTATCATGCTGAACTATAACCCACAATGGCTGGGTTTTATTATTTAGCCTAAGTTCAATAGTCAGTTTAGGGCTTGGGAGCATGCACTTTTTATATTTTGAAAAACTCAGTAAATATGTAGCCACACATTTATTCTTTTATTCATAAATATTCATTTCCTAGCATTTCTTTTGAAGAAATTTTCATTATTCAAACTTTTCATTTAGTTATTAAATTTCTATAACTGCCCATCTGAGACAATGATTCTGGGTAGCTTACAATTCAAAAAAATATATTACAACTAAAACACTAAAATTTTTGAAACAATAAAAACATCAAATAAATACAAGTATTTTAGTGCCTATGGAATTTAATAAGTTCATATGCCCTCATCTGAGGCCTAATCATTCACACTAACTTCCAATAAAACAATTCTTGATACGTAATATTAAGGCGGAACTCCCTATAATGTCCATCATATAAAGTTATGAAAAGTAAATGTTAACACCACCTCACTTTTTTTTTAAAAAAAAATCCTTTTATTGCTTTTCTGTTAAAATGAACAGGCTTTCTATCTTAAGTTCGAATATCAATATATGCTTTTGGGGGAGGAAGAGCAGCACAAAAATAAAATTAGTAACAATAGCCTTACCTATATTTTACTACAGAAAAGAAAAATGTTCACTATTGAGGAAAGTCAAGTTAGGGTTCAGTTCAACTACAGCCATGGATTTACCTTCTTTCATCATCAAGAAATTTCAATTACCAATTGGGGTTAAAGGACAGGATTTAAAAGTGTAAAGCGGTGCTTTTTATACAGAAGCAAGACTCTTCCAACCTTGGCATCCTTCATGATGCCAAGGAGTTTGACCACGTGAAATTGTAGCAAAATAATGACCAATTCTACTCAATTATCAAAGAACACCTTATTTTCAACTGGTTTTTAACCTGCTTTTTTCATTCTCTGATAATTATTTCTAAGTGACATCAACAGAAAGATGGTGTTCACAAATTAGTTAAGTGGGTTTGCCATTCACAAACTCATTTCTTGCACTTAATGGATGCACATAGGGACTCAATATAGGAGAACTGTGGGAATATTAACATGCATATGCACATTTAGGGATATGAGACCCAGTCTGGTCTAGTGGTTAAGGCACTAAGCTAGAACCCAGGAGACTAGTTCTAGTTCCACTTTAGGCATGAAATCTGCCTGGGTGACTCTGGACCAGTCATTCTCTTAGCCCATGATGTCAGATGCAGATGACAAGCCGATCATTCAATCCCTGTAGCAACCAAAGAATCAATAGTAGGTTGATTTGAAAAAAAGGGGATCCTGCATTTGTGGGGGGGGGGGGACTAGGAAGAAAAAAAATGCATAGCTTCATTTTTCCTGAGCCTTTATCCAACACTGCTGCTAAAGGATGGCTCATTTAACATTCGCAGAGGAAGCCCTTTCCAGAATTTCATGTGACTGATGGTTTACTACACAGCTAAGTGTGCAGGGTGAACATCATGACATAAGTGGAACTGAAACCTGTTTCCAGGGGTGGGGCTCACAGGTGGACTCTGATTTAGGAGACAGAGCCAATGAGAGCCAGTGCATGCCTTGGTCAGAGGATTGATCCTGCTGCCTAGAGTGACTTGTCTTTAAGCAACAGCATGGGAGCCTCTCCCACCTGCTTCCCAAGGAAATAAACACAGTCCCCTCCAGTTTAGCTCAAGGAAAGATGAAAACATGCTTAAAACACTCAAGTATTACCAACCTGTTTTAAAATACAGCAAATACATACACCCATACAACAAGCCAGCTTACACGATAGGGGGAAGACAACATTCATAGCCATGAAGCACAAAATTATTGAAGCCCCTGGCAGTTTAAGCAGCTGGAGATTTCTCTCCCATTTACCCAGAGGAAGCATTCCCAGGACCTATTTTCAAGTGACAGTTTGAAAACCTGGGAGTGGCATCAACTAGCAAGGAAGGAAGCCATGTTAACCCCTCCTCAATCAGTACCCAATCATAACAAAAGGCTACTATAGGCTGGGAAGTAACAGAAGATCAGAGGAAAGGATTAAGAATCCCAAAGGAGCAGAAAGGACCATTCCATGTTAAACACTCCAGCTCATGGCCATTTCCTTTCAAAGTCTTCCAAAACTATATAATGCAGATTATTCGTGTGTGTACATGTCCAAACAAGGATCTTAATCTGCCTGCTGCATCAGCAGCTGGGAACAAAACTTACTTCACTATTCTCTCAGACCACTCCCTAAACTGCATGACAGGAAAAAGAAAAGTGCAATCAAAAACCCACAACTACCTACAGTTTTGGCAAAAGGCTCAAAGAGAGTACCACTGGAAAAGGAAAACCGGTGGATAAAGAAAGTATCACAATTAATATTGGTTGCTTCTAGAAGATGCAACCACTGGCACTCCTATTATTCAGGCGTTACCCCCCCCCCAATCCCTGGCGCTGACAGGAAGTGTTTACAGAAAGCACAGTCACAATATAGCTGGGAACAGAGACAGGCAAGCAGGTGGTGGTCAACCCTCCCGTTCCCGAGCCCTAAAACCCATCCGATTCTCCAGGGCAGCAAAAATTCCCAGCTCTAGAAAAACGCTGAGCCTGTGAACTTCCTCGCGCCAAGATGTGCCGGTCCACAGCCTAATATTAGCGCCTATGAGGCGGCGGCGGCTGCTAGACCGGGAAAGCGCGGGGAGGGGGGGAAACCGGAGAGCGTGTTGTCACACACCATTCTTGGACACGCCTCGCCCCTTTGCACAGCGTTCCACGCAGGGCTTTCTTAAGCAGTGGAGCCATCCCTGCGTAGAACTGCACTTTAGCATTTGGATTTCACAAGTGGACGATTAACAAGGAGAAGCCCAAAGCTCCAGAATGAAACCCACACGCCTGGCAGAATCCAAGTCACCCTTCAGCCTCATTGCGACCTCCCTAACGTCCCTCGACTGACAATCAGACACACCCCATAATAGCCCTCTTCTCGCACACGAGCCTGTTCCCCTGACAGACGCAATCACGGTGTCTTCCCTTCTTGTACGCCGACGACCGCCTCCCACGTTGCTTTTGGCCGAGGGAAGCGCCACCTCCCAAACTGACATCCCTCCAATTCTCTCCTACTTACGGTAGCAATGAGGGTGGTGGGGATGATGCCGATAACCTACGGAGAGGGAGGGTGAGGCTGGCCTTTACACCCCACTTCAGAGATTCGGCTTACAACTGCTGCGGCTTCAGCCAAGATCCAGGGAAAGAGACGTTCTACAACCCGCCTTCCCTCCCCCATTTTGACTCATAAAAGCCCAAATGCAACTAACAGCTCCGTACGCGGCTACCCTGGGGCGCGCCGTGTGAACCACTGCAGGACCTCTGGCTATTACGGTCCGCACCTTGAATATTCCCCAACGGCTACAAGCTGAACCGGAGAACGCCCACAGATCCGCAGGCGCTTCGTTGCCGCCTTTCCGGGTGCTGCTAAGGAATTACTTACACAGGTGAGCCGAATCAAGCTTCAGAGAACGTGCTTCTAGCCCAAAAACAGCATTAAGAATTGGAGGAGGAAGCTCTACTTACTAGTTATAGCCTGCGAGGTTTTCTTTGCAAACCAGAAAAGCAAAGCCGCCTTTTCCTAGAGATTTTTATTATTATTATTATTTTAAAAAAGAAGGAAGCGTGCGAGGAAATGCAAAGTTTGCGCGGTCACTGGAAAGAGAAGAGACTCCGCGTCCCCCTCCACCGAAGACTGGCTGTTCTTAGTCAATGCTCCGTTGGTCCGATGCAGCGGCGAACTTTCCACCTAGCCGGCGGAGGAGCCCCGTGTTTGCAGCGCCCTCCCCGCATTGGCACCCAGCATTGAGGCACCCGCTCCGCCCGGGTGCTGCCGTGACGGCGGCTTGGACAATGTGTGCGCGCAAAGCCAGCCCCAGGCAGCGGGCGGCACACGCCCAAACGCCGCTCGCCGCCCACTCGTCACTCTCAACCTCCCGGAGCAGCTGATAGGCGCTCCTGCTTAACCTTCGGGCGCCGGGCTGCGGCTCCCCCACTCCTTCGACCTCGTGGTCGGCTGTGAGACACGTCAATCACTCCCAGAGCAGCCTTCTCCCTCGGCCCCGCCCGCTGCTGTGTTGCTGCTTCTGCTCCGGCCTGGGCTTTCGGAGGGCGGCGAGGGGCTGGAGGAGGAGGGAGGAAATGGGTGTAGCGAGCTGGAAGAAGGGAATCGCCCCTCGCGAGGCTTATTTTTAGAGTCTGCTGCTTCCTCCAGGCAAATAAAGCCTCCTCCTCCTCTGCCGGGATGAGGAGATGAGCGCCCTCCCTTCCTTCCGAGGTAAATATTCCATCCAGGTTTAGTTCTCTTCTGAGCGAGGCCTCACTCAGCAGCACTCCCCCCATTTCCTTCCTCATTTTTTAGGACCCCTTTTTGTGCGTAGCTCGGCTGTGCCGCTGTGTCCGCTCTGCTGCTGCTGCTGCTGCTCCTACCGTTGGGGCCTCTTCTCTGTTATTCTTTCCCTGCCTGCGCAGAGAATTGCTGGCTGTGAAGTCAGTAGGATGTGGGAATCCGCGCTCGCCTGTTTGGAAAAGGCAGAAGGGAGGAAGAATAGGAAAGCGCACAAAGGAATGGCAGCTTTCCCCAACCTGGCGCTCTCCAGAACTGAAGTACAAGTCCCATTATCCCCTCCAACGGTTGTGTGAGCCGCATTGTCCTGGGCAGGCACTAGAGTTCCGGTAGAAGATTGTAAACTTGCATCCTTCTTACTCACGGATCTGCTAATTAGACTAGTAAGGAAACATTGCAAACGATGGTTCTTGAAAGTTAAACGTTCTCCAAAGTGAGGGACATTTATAAGATTTTGGCTTTGAAGATTGGCTTGGAATTGAGTGGCCAGTGTGTGGTCAAATAAAAACAGTACTGTGCATACCCTGAAAAAAATGTAAATTATCTTTTTCGTAGACTTTATCCAGACTGTACAGAATAAGTGAGGAAACACAAACTTCCTGCTGTGAAACCAAATACTGTACAAACATTGCAAAGAATAAAACAAGATCAAAATAAAATAGCTTTAAAAATGCTCCTTTAAATTGAACATTTTTCTCTTTAGTTTTTTATTCATATAAAATAGTGCTTAGCATTGTGATATGCCCAAATTTCTGCAAATAAATGTACATTTACTATATTTTATATCACTGTACTATACATAGACTTGTGTACAAAAAAGTAGTCATAAAAATATCAAAATTAAAGTAAATATAGCAGTACATTAACACCATTAATTTCTTCAGCATTGTTATGTGATATAGCAGGGATCCCAATTATTGATCTTAACCACTCTGAACAGCTTTATTTTGATGGCTTTCCTGCAATTCAGAAACAATGTTGCCATCCAGTTTTCTGGTAGGAGCCTATTCCATAAGAAAGATACTATTATAGAAAACCCTACATTACTTGCTCTTGCCTAAATGTCTCGTGGAAGGAACCCTTAGTATTCTTACCAGGTGGTCCAAAGTGGGTGGGTAGGATCCATTGGAAGCAGATGATCCTGTGGGTTCTTAGGAGCCAAGCAATATACAGCTTTGGGTCAAAACCACCACTTTGAATGGTATCTGGGATCTCACTGGTTTGCAATGCAGAACTCCCAAGATTGATACCATGTATAAAGTAATTCATGTTTAAGTAATGGCATTCCATCTACAAGCAAGCTGCTGCATCTGGAGCCAGTGCATCTTTTGAGTACCCTTCAAAAACAGTTCATGTAGAGCAGACATGTCAAACTCACGACATCACGTATCGGAGTTTTTTCCCCATTGCTGGCAATGGGGTAGGTGTGGTTTCCTGGTGATGTGTCCAGCCTGCAGGCCAGCAGTTTGACACCCCTGATGTAGAGTGTATTGAAGTAATCTAATTGGGAGATGACAAATCTCAGTCAAGATTTCCAGGACTTCTGGAAAGTCCACACCAAGCAATTCTGGGCCAGGCTCCCCTAACAACAGCGCCAACTGACTTATCTAGCCATGAGTCTAGAAGGACCCCCAAGTCACAGACTGGCTCCTTTGTGGAGAGTGCTACTCCATCCAAAGTCACCATTGGAGTAAACTCAGATCCAATTGGCTAGGAATAGTGAATGAACAACAGCTCAGTCTTGTTGGGATTCAATCTTAGTTTCTTTCTCTCCATAAAGATATTTACAGTCTCCAGGCACTGGGTTAGAATTTTCAGTGCATGTCTGGACTGGGATGGAGATGCAGCTCTGGAGTTCTGATTATACCATCACTAACAAATGACTTCTCCCATCAGTATTCATTAAGCAACAGAGACGAACCTTGTGTCATCCCACTTTGAAGTAATCAATGACTTAATTTCTCCTCCTCCATACTTAGGGACTGAATCTGCCCATTCAGGAAGAAGCAAAACCATTGCAAACAGTGCCCTGACTCCCAATCCTTAGGAACCAAGGCCAAATTTCAACCAAAAGTTTACTGGGTGGGGTCTTAAACCATAATATAGTTTGTTTGATTTGGGCACTACAGCTTAGTCTGTTCTGCACACCTAGCCATTTACTAAATAAGTTATGGTTTAAAATAGCATGTAAGCAAAGCCATTCAGAGTTCAGTGGCAAGAGATGCTACATTATATTTGGTGAGCAACATTCAGAGGATGTTCTTTCACGTACACCATCCTGTTGCTTTCTAGTCTAACCGTGTCCTAACTGCATTTGTTGAGCAATCAGACTGTCATATAGGAACTCTCCAGTGCAGTTTGACAAACAAAATACAAGCTGCCCCAAAGCTGGCCTTTGGCTGATTTGCAGGCATTACAGCAGCACTGAGAAGGAGGAATAGATTAAAGAAAATGTTCCAGCTGATCTCATATTGCTAGGGCCTAAGCAGCATGCATATTTTAGAGCAGCAGTCTTGGGCCAATCACTCTTAATGGGCCATAAGTGCACATGTAGAAATCTAGTTCAGTTTTTTTTTCTTTAAAAAGTCAGATCTGTAGAACAATAGCTACTGCTTTTATCATCCTGCTGTAAACCATGCCTACTAAATCAGTGTATGTATTTCCCTAACATGCCAAACCACAAGCAAACAAATGATGAATTAATACTATGTTTGGACCATAGTACCCATTAAAGGAATTTGTAGTTGAAGGAGCACTTGGTTATAGGCTAACAGCAAAGATCTTCGCATGAAGAAATTGAGAAGGAGCAGATCCTCCAATCAATCAATAGCAAGCTAGTAGCCAAAGGAGCTTGCTATCACATATTGGAGGATCTGCTCCTCTATTTCGTCATGTGAAGATCTTTGCTGTTAGCCTATAATCAAGTGCTCCTTCAGCCCCAAATTCTGCTTCTTTAATTTCTGCAGTCTCTTCTGTGGTCAAATCTGCAACACTGAGAATGATTTCACCATCCTCCCTATTAATTGGCCTGAATATGTGCTATTAACGAGGAACAAAGATTTGGAGGAAAATCCATACTTCCCTCTAGCTCTTCTTGGAGATAGTTCGTCAGTAAAACTTTTCTGGCAATACTTTACAAGTTGTTTTAAGTAGTCTAATAATGAGCTATTTCTGGGATCAAACCTGATCGTTTTGGGATGTGTGTTTTAGTGAAAAGTAAAGTGCTTCCTTTTATCACCTAAGAATATGACACAAGCACTTTGCTATAGCAACCCTGCCCATGAAATAGAATAATGTTGATCATAAGATACTGGTTGCTATGGTGAGTAAAGCTGAGATTGGTGGCTTTGCATCATTTAGAAAACAGGTTCTTGTCAATAAGAGCCTTTACCAGGATATACCTGAGATAAGAGTCAACTAAAAGTCCAACAACTAATAAAAATAAAGTACATAAAGTTATTTATTATACAAAAGTGATCAGATACAGACAAGTGATTCATAATCTGTCTCCTATAAAGAACTGAAACTGAACTGGGAATTATATATTCTTCCCTTAACTGATAAAACATTGCACCTACAAAATATGCATTAGGTTTGATAAATCTGTGACCAAGAAAGAAAGAGGAATCACATTGTATATCTGCTGGGATGCATTTGGTTCTGTATGTACCATTTCTGATATTTGGGTTTAGCTTCTTTATCCTGCTGTAAAATGCTTTATCCTGCTGTAAGATGCTCACATGACTTAAAGCCTTAATATCTAGAACAGATTTTGCATGTAACCATTTGCAAAGAATTAAGCATTCGATATTACATATCTGCTGTGAAAAATCTGAACCATATTTTCAGATTTTGATTATCCAAGTTCCTGTACATGAAAATGACTTTTTCAATTTAGCTGATGATCCGATCTCTGTCTTTAATAAAACATATGTTAAGATGCTCATCTGATGATGATGCTGTGATTTACCAGCAATCTTTTTAAAGAAAACAAAGCATTGTATAGTTTCCAGCAACAAATTGTTGAATCATCCTACTGGCAGAGAGGATTGTGGGGCAGCTTATGGCATTGCAAGGAGAATTAACTGAATTATCCCACTACTGTATAAAGAAACAAGGACTGTTTGATTCAAATGTAAGTTTCTGACTTGGTATATGCGTGTACTGGAATGGAATTATGAGTTTCACATAGTACAGTGTTTCTCAACCTTGACAATTTTAAGGCATGTGGACTTCAACTCCCAGAATTCCACAGCCAGCATTGCTGGCTGTGGAATTCTGGGAGTTGAAGTCCACATGCCTTAAAATTGTCAAGGGTGAGAAACACTGACATAGTACGTGAAATAAATATTGTACCTGTTCCTGTGATGGTATGTGGGAAAGACCTTGGGAGACTGGGATGCTGCCAAGATAAGAGATAGCAAAATCCATTGCTGAATAGTGGGCAGGGCAAGAGTCTCAGAAGAGTTCCAGCCTGTTTATTAGCTATAAGGATATTGGGGGGGGGGGGGGAATTGCACCTTTAGATTATGTTAATGTAGCTTTTTACAAGTGGAATTAGCTCATCTGATCATGTTTCCTGTCTGGCCTACCATGTTGAAAAGTTTGGATAATCAAAGAATAGTTGATGGAATATGGAAATTAACAAAAGGCAGAGATTTCCAGGAAAGAAATGGCAAACTGAAGAAAGTGGAGGGAGAGCTTGCAAGTAGACCAGCTCTTCATAATTCCTCTCTAGACAAGGAAAGAACTTGAGATCTCTAAAAAGTGCTCCAGACAATTGCTCCATGTGAGGAGGCCACAAGACCTGTGGGCTTAGAGTTCTGGGAGACAAGGGAATAAATTTTTTGCTGAAACTGCAGTTGGCAGCTTCAGAAAAGACACTGGGTTTGCATACTTGCTTTTCTAGTCACTTCTGGATATTGCTTGCT